ACGTGTAACACTGCTCTGAAGCCAAAGTAAACTCTAGCGAGTTGAAGAGGAGCTTACATTTTCTTAACTCATCAAAAGTCATATTATAATCCACAGCTGATAAATTTTTGAAAAGGACATCTTGAGAAGGGCAGGATCCAAGGCAGTTTGTGGCTCCTGGTCCCACTCTCTGCAGCTGTGGATATTAACGTAGTTGACTAAAATAGAGAACAGAGAGAAAGGTCCACTTTGGGGCACCAAACTCAGATGTTTTTGTACTTAGGTTAGTCAGACTCATTTTTAAAAATTAGATTATCGTAGAGTCTGCAGGGACTCAAGATTCTAAAACTCACATGTATCAAGGAGGGGGTGGGGTTAGGTGACTAAAAAGTCCATGTCTTTCCAAAGCAGGTGCAGGAGGTCAGGAGGGGCTTGGGTCTTCCAGAAGTTTGACTCCTTTACAGGTTTTGATCCAGCCACTTGATGTAACTATCCCTAGTCCGGATTCCCACCGAGAAGTTGGTGGGCCAGCTCGTGAAAATCATGCACCCGTGGAAGCCATCCTCAAAGTGGTCGAGGGTCACCTCCACGCCTGCGCTCTCCAAACGCTTGGCGTACATGACCCCGTCGTCTCTCAGGACGTCGTGCTCACAGGTCAGAATGTAGGTCTTCGGCAGGTGCAGAAGCACTTCCTGGTCTGCGATGAGTGGGGAAGAGCGGGCATCCAGCAACTGGGGGATCTCCTGGACGATCCTGGCATTGCCCTTGGTCTGCATGACAGGCTGGTAGTTCTTTGTGATGGATGCAGGCAAGAGGGACGTCCAGTCAAGACGGGCCCGGGGGGCAACAGCCTCTTCCGCGTCAAGCGAAGTGTGATTGTTCACTATCATGGCCTGCACAAAGTCGTGGTTGCCTTTGAAGTAGTCCAGCCAGTACTTCACCATGACATAGCGGGGCAGGATGGGCGTGTTCACGTTTTGCTGATAAGAGGGTGTGTTAAAATCTAAAGCTTGGAGGACCGGGTAGATTAAAGCTTGCAGTTTGAGCTTATTTCTTAGGTTGGCATCTTGAGCAAACTAGAAAAGAGGAAACACATTATTTCATTTTGCGTGGCTCCCTTTGCAGAAGCACACCCTTTAGAGAAGCTTCGTGCACTACTTTAAACTAGTCAAAAGCATGAACATTAAATTTCTACCAAGACCAGTATTAAGTTATGTTTACAAAGAAAGGTATGTTGTTTGTGATTCAGTTTTGAATGAATCCAGGGTGAACTCTGAATTCTTTAAACCCACATTAATGCTTAACTCATCTCTCTCTTCTGGCATTTAGTGCTGATTGGTAGGTATTGTGGACAAATAATCTGTGAATCTTATTTAATTTTTTATTCATCCCCAAAAGGCAATGAAGAGCTTCCTAAGGGGAAAAAAAATGAGCCCTACTCTTCCAGGAGAGGTATAGGGAAAGCTAAATGAACAGATGACAGCACTCCAAGGTGTTTTAGTAGAATCTCCTCTGATGAGCATTTAGTCTTCATGCTCCATGAGAGAGTGGGATTTAAATAATGCTGGCAATGCACCCTCCATCCTGCTTAATGGGCACATGCCCCAGAGCAAAGCTGAAATGCCAATGGCAGTGCATCCCCATCGCAGCAATCTCAGCTCACCTGCGGCTCTCTGCAGTGTGAGCACATGACCCCATTTTGCAATTCTACTATCTAAAACTGGGCCTTGGTCATGTTCCATCTAAAAGGAAGCTAACCAAGTCACTGTGCTTCCTGGGTAACTAAGGCATCTCCGGACTTGAGATGTAGCTGCTCTGTAAAAGCTAGAGAAAATGATCAATAAATAACAACATCTGCCAAGAATTGTACACATGTCATTTCACCAAATCCTGCAATCAGATGCCTGCCCTCAGTTGTCTTCAGGCTGGGAGAGGTTGAGGGAGTTGTCTAGAGCCCTGTCTCTCTCGGGGTGGGGCCTGTTTGACACCCCATTCTGTCTGGCTCTATGGCCTGTGGTGCCCTCCTCACTGCACAGGGTTTTCCTCTGCCATCTGTGGACACATGGGCAGCACACCTGCCCGTGCAACATGGAGAATTGAGTTCTTTACTTATTATTAGTTAATAATTATTAAGAAAAAA